GCACCTACCTACACAGTCACACTGAAGAATAAAAAAAGAAAGAAAAGAAAGGAAGAAGAGAGAAAAAGAAAACGGGCGGGAAACGTTCTCTCGACGAAACGTTGTATCATCGAGGATTACCTCGAGTGTGACTATCTTCAGCCTCCATCTAACGCCGTTCATCTTCCACACTCCCGCTGGATTACGTCGTTTTACGATGGAAACGGCTCCTTACCACGAAGAGCACCTATAAAGGGGCTTCGCCGGTTTACTTTCACTCGTCATCGGCGGCCGGTTTTCCGCCGCTTTCCGCCCACCGGATGGCCCCCGATTTTCCGACCGTTTCGACACGAAACACCAACGTTTCGGCATCGTGACTTCTCTTAGGTTCGCTGCCTCGTTGGAACCGTTTTATCGAAGCTTCCGATCGTAAAAGCAGGCGGGTGTTGATGACTCGTTCGTCATCGTGGAAATTGACGCTCGTTTGGAAAGTACGATACGTGACTTTGGGAAAAACCGTGGGAGAATTTGAGGGAGATGTATGTGTACTACATATTCCGCTATTAGCCCTTCGACAGTGTGATAAAACGAAGAATTTAGAAATTGCTTATCTCTTAATCTCCGATATTTCCTGCACTTTGGGCTGGATTAATGTGGATGGCTAACCCCAGCGGGATACCATCTTCGAGTTTGGCTATTTTATTTCTTTAGTGAGGTCAGTGCGGTGTTTTCTTTTTGGTCTTCTTTCTATGGGAGTTTTGCTCGCTTCAGCAGCCAGCTGGTTTGGAAGATAAGTCATATTGTCAAAATTCTAAACTCATTACGTATACAAATTATTTTTCTCTTTATGCCGACACTAGTATCTAGTTATTTGATTTAAATTTCACTGCGGTCGCACTCGCAACAAAATAGTAGCCCGCGGTCGATGTTTCTCGGATGTAAAAATAAAATTTTCTTTGGTTTCCTGTGTCGTTTTGTAAATATATTTTTATTTATATAATGTTACATACTAAATATTATGTTTTTAAAAGTGCCTATATTCGATTGAAACATGAACATTTAGGAGGTAAGCTTGATTGATTATTTTCTTTGCTTTCGGATTATTTTATAATATGTTTATTTATAGTCTTGAATGAAATAACATAACGAGTCTTGAATAGGACTATTTTTATTTTATTATTTAAATGTTTTTTACATTTCGTATATTCGTACTTATATTTACAACTCGAGGGTGTTCTTACGTTGAACTTAGTTTGTAAGACACAAATTTTATAACAATTTTTACTTTATAATTCAAGAAGCTTTTTTTTATAATACCAAGGTTTAGAATTATAATTGTAATACTTGATAAGATTATTTTCATTCATGTGCGTTCTTCATACCGTACAATGTCCCGTTCAAAATTACCTAGTCGTAAAAGGGACATTTCCAACTTGTTTAAAACTCTAAAATTTTGTTATTTTTCATTACTATTGACAAGCTTATGATATATATTTATCAAAGGCCAATAAATGTACTTTCTATTAACGAACATTTTTTTAAATATCTATGATATCAAAAATGGACGCTGAAGACAACTTCATTGTACTTCTCCCCTGCTTTTATTACGTTATGCTGCTCTTACATCGGATAATAAGAAGTGAAGAAATGAAACAGAAATATGTTTTACTCGAGAATTTTTATTTCAAATGAAAGAAGAATTTTTTCTTCGAGCTACTCTCTCCTCGTGATATACAGGGTGGTTGGTAACTGGTGGTACAAGCGGAAAGGGGGTGATTCTGCGCGAAAAAAGAATTCGAAAATATAAAATAAAAATTTTTCGTTTGGGGCTTTGTTTTCGAGAAAATCGACTTTGAATTTTCGCTCGGTACGCGTCCACTTTATCACGCCTCGTTATAACGGATCTCACTGTAGATCGTTGTCCCGATAGAAAAATTAAAAATAAAAAATAAAAAAGAATTTGTATTTTATATTTTCGACTTCTTTTTTCGCGTAGAATCACCCCCTTTCCACTTGTACGACCAGTTACCAACCACCCTGTAGGTATATGACCCGCCACGGTTACCTGTGATGCTACAATAGTCATTGATGACATTCAACTTCTTACAATTGTAAAAATTGAATGAAAATTGACAGTTAGGGCATTTTGAATATAACCGATAAATAGAAGATACTTTGAAATAAAAAGTTGCCCATTGAACAATTAAATAGTTTTATTAGAACATCAATAAAAAAAAAAAGAGAAGAAATCTTGCATTTAACGGTGCACTCTGTTAAAACACTGTGGCGTCCTGAGCGTGGCATGGCAGTCAAAGTGTTAAGTATTTTATGTAAATTTGAGTTTTACATTTAAAGTTGAACATTATTAGTCATTAATCATCGGCATATGGAATATGCAAACACCAAACTGACAACTCAATCCTGACAAAGTTAATTGTTTGATTCCTTCAGAGTTAAATGTCGATCATGTTTTTTAAAACTGCTGAGAATAATGAAAAAAGGATTAGTATGAACATGGTTAACACGATAAATATTGTGCTTCACATATAAAAATCAAAAGATATCTTTATTTTATAACTTACTAAGAGAAATGTACAAACTATGTATAAACACTCATCACACAGAACTCACTCAACTCAGAGAAAACTAACATCTAACAAAAAAAAAAATTGTGGAAGTATTTCTTATTAATAAAATAAAAATTTGTAGATATCGAGGCGGAGTGTCAGGACGACTACATGAAAATCCGGATCGGTTTCAACGGTTCCTTCACCGGGTTGCTCTACTCAGCGGGTAAGTAGCCCTTTGGAAATTAACATCGCGACATGAATCGTGGACGTGGCTGCGAGGATCCGCATCAAAAGACGTACTATCACGTCCGCGTTGTACGACCTCACGACTTTGCCGGTCGCAATCATCATCTCTGCGGACACAACGCTCGAACTGTTACGATGCTGACGAGCTAATGGCAAAACATTATCGTGAAACGATCTCGCTGAAGTTCGCCACTAGCGAACAGAGATAGAGAAAGGAAGATGGAAAGAGAGAAAATTTTCCTTTTTTCCAAGGCGAGTCCATCCAGACCAGCATAGTCGAACCGTGCATTTCCGTTATTTTGAAAGAAGCATAACGCGTTGCCTGCTCTTTGCACGATGCACGCGATGCACCTGCAAATAGCTCGTCCTTGTTGGTCACCGTCCTCCTTCCACACTATTCAGCTCTCTTTGAGCGTTCCTCTCGATTCCAACAGGGTATAGATGATTATCGTTCCAGTTTTGCTCGATCGTTCTTTCATATTCGTGATTTTAAAAGCTAAAGGAAAACTTCTCTTACACGACGCGTATTTCAATTATTCAGAAATTCAACAATTAGCTCCGACGTAGTCTAGTTTCTGTGTGGCAACATATAGAAGAAACGAAAAGAATAAAACATAGAGGAAATTGCTCGAGTCCACAATCCTATCATGTACGTTACTTATGTAGGTTACTGTAGCACATGTAATTTTCACAATTTTATTTGCTTTGTTGCCAAGCGTGTTACATGCTGTTATGGAACAGAATGCGTTAATACACGTACATAGCTTGTAGCTCGTATAATTTTCCTATTAATATTAATTCAGTTCTACAAAAGACTTTGACCTTTTCTTACAGCTCTCAATTTATTAACAAACTTTATTATCATATTTTTACTGTATCTGTTGTAAATGGTTTTGTTTGGTAATCTGGATTCGTTATTGAGTTTTACATGACCCCAGTAAGTGTGTTAATGAATATGTACTTGTAAACGTGGGTGTGTGTACGAAAATTGCTGACAGTGAACGATCAATTTCAATTAAAGGCTACTCCTATGACCCGGACTGCATGTACGTGAACGGAACTGGCCGCGACTACTACGAGTTCTATATTCAGCTGAATCGTTGCGGCACCCTCGGCGAGAACACTCATCATCAGGACAGCCGAAAAAATCCTACGGTACGTAAAGAGAGCATGCGTGTATACTGTAACGTACAAAAGCCTTAGTCCATGTATTAAATGAGAATGTTTCACTTCTAGTAACGAACAAATAGATGACGCTATTTGTTAAGAAGACCTGTTGTAAACGACTGCATTAGAATTAAACCAGGGCTCTGTGTATTATAACTGAAAAAAGAAATTGTGCATCAGAAGAAAGCACAAGTAGGCAGTGGCATGAACAAAATATCTTAATATTGTTATACGTAATCTCTATATCAAACACTGCGGTTTTATTAAAGATGTATCCTAAGACTTTCCAGCGGGACTACATATTTAATTGCCATTGTAAAACGAGTAACACAGATGATTTAAGACTTTTGCACAGTACTGTATAATAGTGTGACGAAAGATAGATGATGTGGTTCGTTATGATCACAGCGTGACCACTTGCCCCTTTTGACAAGGAATAATAATGATTAACGTGGACGAAAAAAAAAAAAAAGATAAAAGAATCGACTTGGCCCGTTTTATCTTTTATCTCGCGATCATCCACCGTCGTCTGAATGTTTAATGTCCCACGAGACTCGACATGTATATTAATATACACACCGTCCGTGCCGTTAGAGAACTTTAACGGACGTGAATCATAAATGCCGATGCTAATAATTCTGTTACGTTCTGCTGTGATTTATTAAACTCGACATGCTTTATACAGGATGCACTAAAATCGTGTCTGTTCCTACTGAGTTGCGGTCAGAAAGAGATCAAACGAAACGGAGGGAAAGAATTTGGATGAAGACGATATTCTGTTGACTCTTAAGTAGTTTATAGATTAGCGAACTAGACTTACGGAGTCGCTGAAAAGATATAAAATGAACATATAAAGTGAATAATTTAATACAGATCACAAATTTCCCTTTCACTTTTCTCTTCCTTTTCGATCTGGCCTTCATCTCATTTCTTCTGCCTGTGTCCATTCTATTCTCACTGTTTCCTTCATTCCCATTTGATATCTTTCCTAACTTCCCTCTTTCCTTTCTTTGTCATTCTTCATCCTTTTTTCCTATATTTCTTCTTTTCCTATTGTTAGTTGTTTTACATGAAAAATTTCAACAGCCGGTATTTCAGCGCCAGTAATATTTTAATGTCGACTCTTCAAAGAATTTTCCTTCGCTCTTCACACTCAGTTAACTCCACTAATACATAGTATCTAGCGCTTGCATTTCTTTGTAAACCGCTTTAACCAATTGATCGATGATCGATATTTCGTCTAAATGGCCCACTCACTGTGATTTTCTCCTCGCGATTTACAACGCTCGATTTCTTTCCATTGCAGAAAAACTTGATGTGGAACACGGTCACAGTGCAGTACAACCCGCTGATCGAAGAGGAGTTCGACGAACACTTCAAAGTGACTTGCGAATACGGTTATGACTTCTGGAAAACCGTCACCTTTCCATTCCTCGACGTCGAGTAAGTGTCTTACTAAATACCTTAATTATTAATACCAATTAGTGATCCTTAATTAAGCTCTTCAAAGCGACTTGCGAATGTGATTACAACGTTTGGAAGAAGCTTCGCTTTCCAATTCCTCTATGTCGACCATCTTATTAAATATCTGTCAACTTGCCATGCCAATCAGTCATCCATAATAACAGTAAAGAATTCAAAATTATTGTATATATATATATTTGTACTACCGTGTATTTTTTAACGTGTACTGTATGATGTCCCACTGATGGATAACGGGAAGTTGATCCCAGCAGAAGGCTCTAACGCGGATATCTTCTTTCAGAGTTGCGACGGGGAATCCTGTTGTGTTCACCCTGCAGCCACCAGAGTGCTACATGGAAATCAGATACGGTTACGGGACCACTGGAACTAGAGTGGCTGGACCAGTCCGTGTCGGCGATCCTCTGACTCTCATTATCTATATGCGCAGCAAATACGGTACGCCGATATAGCGGACATGCATTTTCGCGTTACGCTACTCTTACATCGATTCCATACGATCGACGTGTCTAACACTAGAACTACCGATAGTTAACAGGAAGTTATTTCTACCAAAAAGCAGTCACAATGACTGGTCTTTAAAAAATACCTGATAATAGAATATTTTTATATTTATTGATTTATTACTTTCTTACGCAAGGAATTCCATGTTATGTAGTACATTTTTGGTATTATTAATCCATCTGGGACCATAATCCCTAAACGAGGGTTGACACATTTATAAAATTGTAGAACTAGACTAACTAATCTAACTAGCATCTAGTAATCTAGCGATCGACTCGGAATTTTTCTCATAACTAATATCATCATATCGAATGATATACAGTAAAAATTTCAAAAACGTGTGGCAAGTTGTAGAAAACGAGGAAACTGGTTAATTGGGGTTCGATAAACAGATTGCAGGACCCTTTTACGCTTTGACAAGTACCAGTCATTTTAACTGGCATTGGTATAAGTAGCATTGATACAAAATTATTTTGAGGTTGAATACATAAAAAAACAAAATAAAATTCATTATATTATTCTTTCAGTTATCGTTGCGAAAGTCGTTACATCATCTCGTTACATCATCGTGGAAAAAATATAACACGAAGTAGGAATTTTAAAATAAAATTGTAAAAGCAGTCAATTTATCTGGTATGGTAGTTCTAGTGCTAATCACGTGGCGCTACATAACATCTGCCTGGTGTTATTCCACTGGTCAACAGGATACCCAGGACCTCTATTATGTACACAGTTTCCCTTCGAGAAACTAAAATTAGAGTAGGGTTTCCTCGTTCGAGAAATCGATAACGAGTCGCGATTCCAAGTTGTCAATAATTGACAACGATAAGTCGGTAGTTTAAATATTCCAAGATACTAGAATTCTAAGTAGAATCGATATACTCAGGCTATTTAAGTTCATTAGGTTGGTTCAGAACGTTGATATGAAACTTCAGGAATATGTAATAGTTATTAAAAAAGCAAAAATTTGTCTGGATAAACAAAAATCTAAATATCACATATTTTCATCAATAAGGCCTTTCCTGTTTTATCGACAGCATAGGTGTGGTCGATACCACTGTTCACTGTATATGACATATTTATTTTATTGACTTTAATTTTTTGAAACATCGTTACAATAGGAATTTTGTAATTTCTCATTCAAGTATTAGTTTCAAATAGATTCTACTTGCAGGTGTTTGGTCGACTTAATTAAAATGTAATTCTAATAAATAGAGATCGAACTCTACTGTAAAATTTAATAAAAGAGATTCGAATCTATATTAGGATGAACATCTAAAATGAATATTTTTATTTTCACAGATGGTTTCGACATCGTCGTGAACGACTGTTACGCCCACAACGGTGGAAATAAAAGGATTCAGCTGATTGATCAATACGGGTGCCCAGTGGATGATAAATTGATCAGTAGATTTCGCGGATCCTGGTCAGAGAGTGGTCTCTTCGAGACTCAAGTTTTCGCCTACATGAAGACGTTCAGGTTCACTGGTTCACCTGCTCTATACATCGAGTGCGACGTCAGAATGTGTCACGGAAGATGTCCAGTATGTAGGAAACGAATGAGAATAAATTCTTAGCCAATTGTCATACAATAGATCGTTTTGTTAAAAGTCTTGATGTGAATTTATATGCCTGTTGTTATATGAATTATTCGTGATTGTACAGAGTCAACCGTGTCATTGGAGGAACGCCAAGAATGTGGCTAAACGTTCTTTGCCAGAAATTGGTGGCCCGTCGACGCCAGCGACGAGTTTGTCAGAGAACGTCAATCTGTTCCAATCGTTGCGTGTTCTACAGGAAGGCGAGGCAGATACGGAATTCTTCCAGAATTCCACTACAGCTTTCCGAAGTGGTAATTTCAGTAAATGATTCGACCTTAAAATATTTAATCTGTTATCCGAGTCATCGTTTAAACAGAATTTGTATGATTATGATTATTAACATTTTTATTTGTTTATATATACTGATTATTGATGCTTTTTTTGCAGGACCTAGTGAATCCACGAACGACAGAGTGTGCCTTAGATCAACTGTTCTTAGTACGATCATAGGAATCGGTTGTGGCTTCCTTTGTTTAATGGCAGGGACGATATTAGCGATGTGTTCGAGAATTCGAAGACAGGCTAGGGAAAAACTTCTATCTGATAGCATAAGTTACATGACCCACAAGGGTAGGATCAACTAAACGCGGCCTCTTTGGACGTACAAGCGAAGTTCTTCTCTTTTCCTTCTTCTTCGTGGCAACTCCATCGGTACAAGCGTATCGAGAGATTCACCGAGGAAACATTCTCCGTCGGTAATAAGGCGAGGACGATCATCGCGTTTGTAAGAAGCGACGCGATCGGTAATAAAGCTAAACATAAGCTCGATCGATAAAAAAGGTATTTTCAATCGACGGTCGAGAATACAAATTGCGAGATACAAGCAATACAAATGTAGCTAAAAATTGTATATTTCGGTAAAGCGTGAGATACTTACACGAATAGCTAGAAAATGAAATTAGAAAAGTCAAAGAATATATATTGTGATAAATACGATTAGGCTTAAATTTCTACTTCCTTTTTGTTTGTTTAATAACTAATTAACCGTCGATAACAAGCGAAACTCGCGTTTTCTGTTTACGTAAACGTTGTTTTCTTTTATCTTTTTTCAATTGTAATTTTTTCGTTTATTTTGTGTACAAGTGAGTTGCCGTCCGTAGATAACAACGATCAAAGGCGAATTTAGAAGTCGAGGATTTTGCCACGTTCTCCGTATCGAACGCGCGATTGAGAAAAATATTTTATTACAATCTTTCTCGGCCGCGCGGACGTTACTATACGAGATCAAAACGAATGACTAGATATACAGTCGTTTAATACCGTTTAATGAGATTCAGTACTTTAAGTATGCCTAATAGCATTACTCGCCATATTCAGGAACATAAAAATCATCGAGGTCTCGAGCTACAGCTGAACAAATAATTGATCATACTTTATATGCGTGTTACCGTACTTATACAAAAATTTAGAACTACGTGCATTACACGTTTCAGTGCACTTTTTTACAATTTCAAATCATCCTCTCATAGATAACATTATAGTAGCGTTCTCTTATATTTTAGATTATTGGAAGAATTGTTTCGCTTATGTTCAACCGGTAAGGTCACCATCTTACCATTGACGAAGACGGTAAATAGATATAGCAAGGGTAAACCATAAATATTATACCTTTTTCGCTCGTTCTCGTTAGATGTACTTCTTTTTCAGGCGTGTGTGAAAGTGTTTTTGGATTAACCCTGCTACATCCTTTCGATTATTTCTCATCTAATTGTACTGCAATAAGATTGAACAAAATACTGAAGAGACTTTAATGGTAGACACAATTCCTTATTGAACATTTTAAAAATTTGTTTGCTGAAGCGTGAAAAATGTTGTAATATAAAAATTCGAAAATCGCAGCAGGTTTAAGGTCATTATCTCCTTTGTGAGAATTGTTTATTAGAGGATACAACGAGACGTCCAATGTATCGGAATTTATGCGAACACTACTATATCTATCATATTTCAGATCTAGCTGTATCTCAGAGATATAACAACACGTTTTATAGTCGAAGTTTCTGAATGTTTGCGAACGATGCATTTTCGTATGATATAAACATCGCTATGCAATAAACAGTTACAATATTTAGGTTTATACTTTATATGCATAATGATATATACTCAGTGTCCAAGTGTGTCTGGACTTTCTTATTTTTTTTTTTTTTTTCATGCTATTCTTCGTATTTTCTTGTTTTGTATTTTTCTCTTAATTTCTTCAATTCTCGAGAGGCAGGAGCATTAAAGAATTGCCAGAAGCCAGAGAACAGCCAGCGAGGATTAAATAATATTTTGCATCATACGAGATGTCCCCGCGCGTGTATCGGGGGAGCCAAAGAAACGTAGCTCAGCTCTCGTCTTGATAATTTATTGCGAAACTTCGCGGAAGCATCCTGAATTCGTCAATCTGTGAAATATTAATTTCCCCTCCTGGTCGTTCCGGAAACATTTTTTCTACACGTTCTTCGGATATACTGCCCCCCCCCCTCCCGCCCATTTACAATCGACAGCAAACAGAATCCACCTTCTCGATCGAATTACTTGTAAATATAGCAGTGTATGATCCATAATATTTATAATTAAGCTCGAGTGTATCAAGGTTTCCAATAAACTGTAGCAGGAGTATTTATTGTCTTTTTAAATAAACTTCATCGACTCGTACAATTGTTTATTCACGAATAATGTTATTATGAAAATATTATTATATTGTCAGTCCTATTATGAAATTTTCTATTTATATTATTACTATGATAGTATTATACCACGAGTGATATTATTACGACAATATAGGGTATTATTATTACAAGTATATATGTCTGTAATTATGAGCTTCTCTATTCAGAGGGTATCCTGAATTAGAATGTTCCAAAACAGTGTTCTTTTGTAATTTTTTCTAGAAGAGAAAGAAAGAAATGAAGTTATTGAATTTTGAGGCACGGTTTTGTATATATTTAACGAATACAAAAAAGTTTTTTTAAAGTAAAAGAAAAATTTATAACAGTTTTCAATCGGCGGAAAAAATACATCTCGTAATTCTTGACTGAAACAAAAAACCAAAAAAGGATTAAATTATTTTTTCCTCTGGGTAAACTAAACAAAGGCAGAGAAAAGTTTATTTAAATAATTGTTATAGCATCTTAAAGTTTAATTTTTTTTTAACTTTTTAATTTTTTTTTAAATTTTTTTATTCAAAATTTTTAATTTCACGTTTTTTTCTGCCGCTATTTAGTTCACACAGAAGAAAAATATATAATAATTTATAATAATTTATAATAATATAATATATAATATATAATAATTAATATTTATAATAATATAATAACCATACCTCAAAATTCAATAACTTCATTTCTTTCTTTCCCTTCCAAAAAAAATCACAAAAAACGCTGTTTTAGAACATTCTAATACAGGACACCCCCTTCACAAAGTTTTCCTCTTACGTTGGTATTACCAATGAAATATCTGAAATTTTGGAAACGAAGAAGTCGAAAATAATTTCTGTCAACGGTAAATCAGATGTCTCACGTATCGCAAAGGATCGGTTAAAGAGAATGAATCTGGACGATTTTACACAAATACCGCTTTTCCAGGAATTAGTCCACCACCGATGGAGCGAAAAACCAGCGTGACGAAAAGAGGACTTCTACCTGGTTGATTTTGAAAAATTCGACGTGTCCCAGGATTACAATGGTCGCGGCACGGAACGAATCGTATTTTCCAAACAGCATATCCTTCATCGAGATGCAGCCGGTGCTTTCGTTTCTTCGAGCACACTCAAAGATCGCCGCAAATGGCCGGTTCATGGTGAAAAGTGAAAATCTACGCAATATCTCACCTGCAGAATGGACTGGCACCGCCATTTGTCGCTCGATCCTCCCTCGATAACGCAAGAAATATACGATAGTTCGTTGGTCTCGTTCAGGCTAGCGCATTATCGATGACTGCATTTTTGTTCGACAGAGGGAAACCTTTCAAATAGCTCTGGGACCCAGGCAATTAATAAGATCCTTTCTCTATAGAGGATTTTTATGACTATCCTATGTGGCCAGTTTTAGTTTATAGAAAAACATATCTTCGCATATAAGATAATCATTACGAGATAGATGTACGCATAAATATCATAAAACTGATAAATACGAAGCAAAGAAATATAACATCGAACGAAGAAAATGTAAATACATTGGACATTCCAAATGTATATCATATCCTGTTAGAAAACATATTCTGATGTTTCATCAACAGTGAAATCGAGAATTCTAACATTGATAATTGAAAATTAAGGAAACATCGATTACTATCAAAAATTTTAGTTCAATTTTAGAACAACATTGAACATTTCAAACTTTCTGGAATAGTAAATTTTTAGCATCAAGTTTCTGTTCAAATTATGAAGCCATTTGCTACAACCAAAATTTTCGGTAATATTGGGTTGGTAATAAAGTGATTGCGTGTTTTAAATAAGAAGGAAAATTCAAAATTTTTGCTTACAGATATAACTTTATTCAATTAGGTATTGCCCGTTTTTGTCGGTGAACTTTTGTCATCTTTCAGGCGGTGTCATAATTCTATGTTTATGAAACTTCTGATTTTTGCCAGCAGAAAACTGAATTAAATGTGATTTTACATTATCAGCGTCATTAAAAATTGTACCATTTAAGGAGTTCTGCATGAAACGAAATAAATGGAATGAAGGCGCAAGGTCAGGGCTATATGATGGATGTAACAACACATCCCAATCTATGTTCCAATAATTTGTGGCGAGTAACCAAAGATGTGTGGAGCTTTGCATTATAATGCTGGAAAACAATACCCTTACTATTTGCCAATTTTGGCCGTTTTTCTTGAAGTGTATCGCTCAGTTTGACGAGTTGTTGAACGTACACGTTTGAATTAATCGTTTGGTTTCTTGGTAAAAATTCAAAATACTGAATTCCTTTATAATCCCACCAAACTGACGGCATAATCTTTTCTTGGTGAATCTCAGCTTTTGGTGTCGTCTGGGCTGGTTCATCTTGCATCAGCCACGATCTTTTCCCATTAACGTTGTTATAAACTATCCACTTTTGGTCGCCAGTAATCAGTCGTTTCAGAAATGGATCAATTTCGTTGCGTTTCAGAAGCGAATCGCAGATGCTAATGCGTTGCATCGAACGAATTTCTTTAAGCGAATGAGAGACCCATAAATCGAGTTTCTTGACATAGCCAAGCTGTTTTAATTTTTTTTTAATGCATGTATGTGATACATTGAGCTTTTCTGCAATCTCACGCGTTGTGCTATGACGATCTGAATCGATAACGGCCTTGATATGGGTCTCATCAGCTTCAACTGGTCGGCCAGATCGTTGAGCATTTTTCAGTGAAAAATCACCAGAACGAAATTTGGCAAACCAATTTTGACACCGCCTTTCTTTCAAGGCTTCATTCCCACATACGGCACATAACTTCATGTGTGCTTGCGATGCGTTCTTGCCTTTTCGGAAATAATACAATAAAACATATCTGAAATGCGCGTCTTCCACTTTTAAATTCAGATAAAAACGAAACTAAATAACTAATCGATACAATTTTTACTAAATTAAAGGCAGAACTCCACACAACAAGAAAGCAGTATAGGTTAGGTGCTTTGAATACGTTGTCAAAACAAAAGAATGTGCTAAGACCACCTATTGACAAAATCTGGAATCACTTAGTTGCCAACCCAATAATTTTAGATAACTAGTATAATTCAGAGTTACAGGAATATCAACTTTTTACTTGAAACGTTAACCTCGTTCCGATTATGTGATCGAAAATCGTAGACAAAGGGAAGTAATACACGATCCGGATGTCTCCAGGAATTCTTCTTAGGAAAGGATCGCAGTGGCGGTCGATTTCGCAGTGGAGCCAAAAGGGCGATTCAGCAACGCAGTAACGAACTGTCTCTCGGCGGCGAGCATGCGGCAATTAATCAAGCCGCAATAAATTAATTGCCGCTCAGGCAGGAATTAATTACCACCCCGGCAATAATTATGGCTAACGCAGAAATAATTATCGTGCGCCACGGCAACGCGTTGATCCCTCTGCACGACGATAATCCGCTGGTAATTCGATACGTACGTATATCTCGATCGATCCCTGGCTGTCGCTACTCTTCTCTTTTAAATCGCTTTTAATTTCAATAAAAGGGTGTCCGTGATAAATAAATCGTTGGCGAAACCATTTCGATGTTGCAGCAGATTAATGCATCTGGAAGAAAGATCGCAACGCAAAATATCGCATCGCCAGCCACCGTTTCGCGCGCAGTTTTATCATCCTACCGACGCAAATGTCGTTTATTAAGTGGAGCACCGATTAAGTCAAAGGGCTCGTGCATAAGATGGTCGAAGACGTTATTCAAAAGCAATTCTCAATGCGATTCGTTTTATGGACTATGGTGCTTCGTTACGAAATGAAGTTTCCTTGCACGAAGATTGCGGTGCCGGAAGAATTTTTGTTTGCATTAAAAAACATATGGCATGAAATACAAAGTGGAACTGGTTCTCTAGAAACACAAAGTGGAAGTTTATTCTGTGGAATATGAAAAATAATCTTTTTTTTTATACGTTTGGCGATTTGGAGGACGTAACATAAAAAGTAAAAGAAATTGTAAGAATTTTGCCATAAATGCAAAACATATAGTTCTTAATTCGCAGAAAGATACTAAAAAGGTATATGTATACAAATGTGGCATATATAAATATACAGGGTGGTTGGTAACTGGTGGTACAAGCGGAAAGGGGGTGATTCTAGGCGAAAAAAGAAGTCGAAAATATAAAATAAAAATTTTTCATTCGAGGCTTTGTTTTCGAGAAAATCGACTTTAAATTTTCGCTCGGTACGCGTGCACTTTATCGTGTCTCTTTATAACGGATCTCACTGTAGATTTTTAAAAAAATTAAAAAAAAAAATTAAAAACAAAATTTATATTCTATATTTTCGACTTCTTTTTTCGCCTAGAATCAGCCCCTTTCCGCTTGTACCACTAGTTACCAACCATCCTGTATATTTTTTTTTAAAGCTTAAGTTTATTGAATCCAAGGACACAGTTTTAGGTACATATTCACAATAAACGGTGAATAACCATCCTGTATATAATATGTCGCTTATGATTTTGATAATAATATCTTTCATCTTTGCATGTACAGAGCCTGAGAGTCTACTAGTCTCAAATGGTTTGAAAACTAATATTATTTATTACACAGATATGTAGATACATATAATGAAGGGTATAGAATATTTTCAGCATTAACAAGCTTGCAGGTTGTGGAGTGAAACGTAGCCGAGGAAATTTTTATCAACAACGTGCACATTATAAATTTTAAAGTTACGTTAGAAATTTTTTTACGAGCTACAGGGATGAGAGAGAGGAATATCATGAAAATGCATTCCTAGGAATGGTTCAATATTTCAATCCAATGCGGTATCTCGCCGCGAATTCAAGCGTGTACTTCTGGACGTGCAACTTCCGGTTGGAGAAACGCATCGTTGCACGAGGGCGCAGCAGCGGCGAAAGAGGGTGCCAGCGGATTTTATCAAAATGAAATCTCCCAGGATAATAAATACTCGGTTATCGGGTTTAATCGAGTTATCATGCGATGTGGAAACGACGAGGTAGCTTCGTTGGCTAGGATCCATGAAAATAGGGTGTCTTTGATAAAACTGGAAGAATATCTATCGTTTCTGTATCAAATGATACTTATAACATTCAGAAAAGATTTGGCTGCAAAGTTAATTTAAATTTGATTCTTATATTAATCTACACTCTTTGAATGAAAGATTTCAAAGTAATCTAAACTATTCTTAATTTTTCACAGGCTGAACATTGTTCTAGAAATAATTTCTGGAATCGAAAATCTAGATACTTACTTATAATATATACTTTATTCTTTAAAAAGATGAAACTGCAAAAATTTGGAAACCGCAACTGCATTCAAATATAAGGTATTTGTACTAATGTTATTATAGGATTTATTTATTCAGAAATATTAGAAATTAGGGTTTCCAATGATTTCTATCCTAATAAATTTATTGATAGATGGATCTATTTACAATGGATTAACCATTAACGCTGCGACTTTTAATTGTGAATATCGAGGGGCAATTTCAACTTGTTCCCATCGTACTTTGGCTTGTAAGTTTTTAAGTGTCACATTTTAAATGCTACAATGACGCGTAATATTAAATAATTATATTAAAGTCATTCACAATCATCTTTATTCATCTTAGAAGTAATATAATTTTGATTACAATATTTATATTAATTATAATTGGGTAATGTGTGGAATTTTTTTAAATATTCATTCGGATGCAAACCGGGTTTGCGTTCATAGGTCTCATAGTACTCACTCAGGAGTATTATTTTTTATTTGTAGACAATTACCGATAATGACTCAAAAATACATTTGGAGTAGAGCGTCGCACATCGGTGGTGCTTGAGAGGCACACGTTAAGGATTAAACAGGAAACGATGGTTACTTAACATGAACTAAATACAATAACGTGCTATAACTAATGGATATAACTCAATGGATAATTCACAACTCACAACTAATGGTTAACAACTGATAACAACTCGGCAACTCTTTCTTGACTCAACTCGCAACTCTACACAACTCGACTCTTAGTTAACGAATGCCGATTAATTCGTCTTTTTTCCTTAAGCATCCCTTTGTCTTTTCTCATACCTCCACCACGTACGTATTTCGTAATCGTTCGAGAGCATGATCACGTATTACAATAGTTATTTATTCTTCTTCTATAATAGTTAGTTATGTCTTCTTCCGCGTAACTATTCGATCGAAGGACCAACGACACATTGATGTTCCGCTTGGCCCATTGAAGTTTCCAGACCTTTTTGGCCTGTCGGCACTTAGGTTTTCCCGCAACATTGTTTGTAGTTCAACCGATATTTCTTAGTCAATCTGTCCACGATACTACGTTATAGTTATGTTTTTATACGTTTCCCTAATTCTATTAATCTCTGCAACCATTCAAGTATCACATATCCTCATTTCATATCACTTTAGCAATTTTGAAAAAAAACCATACCCGGGACAGACAAATTTTCCAATATATTTGATTGGTGTTTAAATACATTTTATTAAAATTAATGCTAAAAATGAAGTAGTACATCAACAATATATCCAAATTCGACACAATGCAGAGTGAATGTAAACGAGCTAAATAACTATATCTAAACTTCACTTGAATTAATCGTTCATAATTATATTAGTTTATTATATTAGTACAAATATATTTAAAAGCTTAAAACTTGTTCAATTCGGTCGGAATGGAAAATAATCGCGGTGGCAATCGCAAGTAGTCGGGGAATCGGGAAACTGAGTGCGTTGCGGTATTATATGCAGCCTTCGGTCGGCGATAATTCAGCAAACGTTGCCGCGCACAGACCTAACAGCGATTCCGGTCGGACATAACTTCCGCGAGCCGCTATCGCGGAACTCCACACCTCTACTTTATTAAGTGTACACACACAACGTGGTTCACCGGCCCAAGAGATACTCGATACGCAATGATACCGAGTGCCGAGTAGGTAAAGAGACGTTCGTAAAATAATGCAGCACAATCCATCGACTCGGTTTGCAACAAGTTCAAGAGCAAATCGCCACGAAAGAACGAGTAATTGTAGAAGCTCGATTACTTCTCTGGATAATTACGAAATTATTGAACACTTTCGAGATTTATGGAACGACACATTGTAAGATAACTTGGACAAAACTACTATTTATTATAATTTTTCTGAGATTTACATACATTCTATTTGAAACTGTTTACTTAACTACTTTATATCATCTTTTATTATTATTGTTATTGTTGTTGTTGTTGTTATTGTTATTGTTATTGTTGTTGTTATTGTTATTGTTGCTTTTATTGTTATCGTTATCGTTATTGTTATCGTTATCGTTGTCGTTGTCGTTGTCGTTGTCGTCGTTGTCGTTGTCGTTGTCGTTGTCGTTGTCGTTGTCGTTGTCGTTGTCGTTGTCGTTGTCGTTGTCGTTGTCGTTGTCGTTGTCGTTGTCGTTGTCGTTGTCGTTGTCGTTGTCGTTGTCGTTGTCGTTGTCGTTGTCGTTGTCGTTGTCGTTGTCGTTGTCGTTGTCGTTGTCGTTGTCGTTGTCGTTGTCGTTGTCGTTGTCGTTGTCGTTGTCGTTGTCGTTGTCGTTGTCGTTGTCGTTGTCGTTGTCGTTGTCGTTGTCGTTGTCGTTGTCGTTGTCGTTGTCGTTGTCGTTGTCGTTGTCGTTGTCGTTGTCGTTGTCGTTGTCGTTGTCGTTGTCGTTGTCGTTGTCGTTGTCGTTGTCGTTGTCGTTGTCGTTGTCGTTGTCGTTGTCGTTGTCGTTGTCGTTGTCGTTGTCGTTGTCGTTGTCGTTGTCGTTGTCGTTGTCGTTGTCGTTGTCGTTGTCGTTGTCGTTGTCGT